TGCCCGAGAAGCTCGACGAAAATGAGGGCAGATGGTGTGCCGTCGGTGGCGAGAGACCCTGGCCGAGCGCAGAGCGAAGCGGCGGCAGGCAGGTCACAGACGATGATGAACCGGCCAAGCTCATCTTCTACTTCGAAATTGCCTGGCGCGAGGGATTCCTCTCGATAGGGGCCGAGCAGGAAGGCTGGCCGACGGCGGCTACAAGAAGCGGATGGAGCCTCTTCCTGAGATGACATGTTCGCAACGCGCAATAATGTCAGGCAAGGGAAATTAAGTGACGCGCGGCGATTAAATAGTAGAAGAAGAATGAAGAAGAATGAAGATGAATCTCCACACATCAAATGAGCACAAAAAAAGTACGTACCTTGCTGGGGTGCACAGCGACGGAAGTTTCTTGAAGGCGGCGGTTGTCGGCTCGGTGGCTTCACAAGAAGCGGTTCAACACGTGCAGGCGAGATGAAGACGCAGATGGGCGGTCGGCGAAGACGATGGGTGCGTCCGAGATTGGAGGTACCTGGTGTGGCCGTGTAGATGACCGCTTGATGGTGGTGGTGTTCGGTTGCGCTGTGCTGAAGGTGTGGAGCAGTGGTGACAAGAAGCCGACACTGAGCTGTCGAAGCAGAAGATGGTGGAACGGAGCGGCGGGGGTGAGGAGCTTAGGTCGGCTGACGGTGTGGCGGCCAGGAGTTCTGGCCGTGCGTGTGGTCGGGTGGTGTTGTGGTGTGTGGCGTGTCGGTGAAGGAGAAGGAATGGACCAGGAAGGAGAAGCGCCGGCGTCGGTGTGTGGTGGGCAAAGTTGGGGCGACAGACACGGAAGGAAGGTCCTTCCGATGCGATGGCGGGTGGCGGCAGAGGGTGGTTGGTCGGTTGTCCCTCTATCTTGGTTTGACCGTTTTGAGGGGTGTGAAGGAGATGTGCCACGACCTGTTGGCTCGTGTTGTTCCCAATTTACCAGCCGCGTTTCTCCCTCTTTCCCTGCGTCTGGCGATGCGGGCCGGTGGTGGGTGGTTCGAAGGAGGAGGGGCGGTGATGAGCACTCTACACGGTGCCTTGTCGTGAGCCGTCAGTACCGTAGATACGGAGTGGTGTCGTCTGCCCGTGTCTGTTCGTGTCGCCGTTGGTGGTTCTTTCCTTTTGAACGGGCGCCTCCACCTGCTGCTTGGCCGCTTCTCCGCTGGTTTCCAGGCCGGCAGCTGGCCGAGTGTTCCCGTTCACTGCAGACCACCACCTGATGTTCTCTTCGGCCTCTTTCACGCCCTCCTTTTTGCCTGTTTTCAGATGGTGATCGACAGCGGGCCGTCTGTTTCTGTTGCTCTTCTACTCCTCTACTCCCACCCTATCAGCAAGGATCAATCTTCGTCTCGCTGGTGCACTGTGGCGAAGTGGTTGTTGGTTATGGTGATGCTGTGGGCAGACCCCGCCGCCTTCGGTGAGGTGGTCCATATCGGACGTCGATAAAGAGGGTTGCTACCGAACGGAGGTCCTACATCGGCAACACCACTCACGGGGCAACAACGCCGCGTGGCGCACAACCACAAAAATGGCCATTTTCGCGCTCTTCCACTCCAGTTTTCTGCTGAATCGATCGCTATTTCAAATATGGGATCAATAAAGCAGAGAGCACGCGCCCGTTCGACAAGAAGGGGCAAAAAACTGTGGCCCGCCCGTTCTCTGCTTGGCTGTGCCCGCACCGAAGTGTGGCAAGTTCTTGCTCATGCTCCTAACAACCGACAACGCCCTTACGTTCACGTCAATGACACGAAGGGGAAGAGTGAAAAGAAGAATGAAGAGATCACAGTATCCAAACAAACACAGGTGGGCCGGGACGAGAAGAAGAGAGAAAAATGAACCAATAAATACCATTTTGGACCCGGGCCTGGAGCGCGCTACACAACGCCTCCAACCAACGTTCCCTTTCTCGAGCTCTCTCCTCCCCTTCGTGTGTCGTGCAGTGTGTGGTGTTTGTGAGTGTTGTGTGTTGTGTGCTCGCTCGTCGTGTTCGTGTCGGCCGGCGCCGCTCGCTCGGATTCGCCTGCCGCTCCACGTGGCACGCTTTGCTTCTCTCGCCTCTCCGCCAAACTTGCTCGACCGGTCCGCGAGGAGTCGTGGCCGTAGCGCTGTCGCACGAGTCGCGGAGATAGAGTCGTCGTCGTTTCGTCGGTCGGTCCGGTCGCGTAGTGAAATAAAACTTGGGAGAGGAGAGGGGAGCAGTAGCGAAGATGTGATGATAAAATGAAGGGGTGGAGAGAAAGAGAGAAGGACGAAGCTTAGAGGGTCTCGGCCTGCTTCTTGTCGATGCGGTCGAAGGGCTGGCACCCGATGAGGCGGCCGAAGTAGAGCCCGAAAATGATGAGGAGGGTGGCGAACATGGCATCCATGAAGTAGTGATAGCGAAGGAAGATCGTGGCCAAGGTGATGCCAGCCGCAGCCACCTAAGTGGGTGATTGCGATAGGTGACAGGTTAGCCCTCACGCACACCGCCCACGGTCACCTCCACCACACATAACAAGCGCGTGCAAGCCAAGTAATGCACAACTTGTGCCTGTTGTTGCTTGCGCACGTGCCAGAACAACGTCGCGGAGAAGGGAAAAATGGGAAGAAGAAGAAAAAGAAAATAACCGTGTGCGAAATGAAATGAAAACAACGGCTGGTGCCTGCAACGTTGAAGTCGAAGACGAAGGGGAAGAGCGTACCTCGCAGATCCGGCCGTAGACGCGATAGCCCAGCTTGGAGGCGGCGAGGGCGGGCACCCACGTGAGGGCGACGTGGCCCGACGGGAAGGCTCCGTACGAGTTGGCGGCACCCTTCTTGATGGCGTCTCTGTTGTAACATACACGCCAGCGTCAGGTCAGAAGAAGAACAGGCAAGTACGACAACTCCAAGAAGGAGCCAACTGATAGAGGTGCGAAGAAAGAGGGAGGTTTGTGCAACGTACCGCATGAGGTCGCCGACCCAGAAGCCGCGCAGTTCGTTCTGGTAGCGGTCGGCGAGGTAGATCCTGGGACTGACGGCGGGGAAGATGAAGTTGACTGAGTAGTTGAGCAGGTAGGTCCCGACGAAGCAGAGGAGCAGCATCTGGATCTTCCTCCATCGGCCCTTGTCGTGGCGCCAGCCGTTCTTGAAGCAGGCGTAGAAGTAGT